TTCGGCAACCGAAGGAAGCAGGCGTTCGCTAGTTTCAGCGGTGGTTCGTGAGGTCGAGTGTCCGATTTTAGTTACAGACACTCAACGACCAAGTCCCGCTGCCTTCCCTCGTGTGAACAAGATGGCCTCCGTTTTCTGTTCCACATGGCATTTGGCTTAATGAGCCTGGAGGGTGGTCGGTGTTCGGTAGTTTCAAACTACCGAACCAATAAATTCAATATACATACAATACTTGTAGGAAAAAGCCAGAACAAAGAAGAAAATATCGAACAAAAGTCTATTTTCTTCTCAATGACCCTTAGCGTTCTGCATATGCTCTCCAGGATCTCAATGAAAGCATAGCTCATGCTGTACAATCAGGTATTAAATGTGATCCCCCCACGCTACCTAACTAATAAGGGGGGTAGAGCATAGTTCTGTTCCCCAGCACCTGACAGTCACCTCAGGGGCACTAAACTACTAATCTTTGTTTTTATAACAGGCGGTTGCTTTGAGAAGCAGCTGTCTAATATAAAATTTAAAATGAAGAATTAATCTAATATTCCCATGCCCCATAAACCGACTGCAGAGATTTGGAGCTAAAGAGTCTCACATATGGGGTTTGAGCCCCCCAAGAAACCCTTATATTATACTCCACGTGCTGCCTAATAACAGACAGCATGCTTTTTGTAGGTATACAAACATTCATCTTATTTTACTTTTAACAGTAATATAGTAATATTAACAGTAATACTATGTATGTGAATACCACATTCTATAGCGTACTGTACTAAATAAAAGAAGTACGTGCATATTTTGATACAAAATACTATTCTCTCATGGACAGTAAAATGTAGCACATCTGGAGCAGGTGACTTATTGCTCTATAAATCCCGTAAAGGCATCTCGCTGCAAGCTGCTTATTTATGCTCCCATTTCAGACATGTACTTTATGTTCATATATCAATGGTTAAGTGAGTGTGACCTAGAAGTCAGACCCGAAGCATCTCTGTCTGATAGCTCAATTACTTCAATGCCATCAATTCCCTGTAAACCATTTGTCCTAATTGAATATGACACAATGCAGAACGTAAGCATAAATGTGTATATTTAGGGCTGGATGTTATTGTCGTTCTATAGTAAAATGCTTTCTTTTCAAAAATGTTTGATAAAGTCCCCTCCTTTCCCTATATATGTTTGGGTATCCCCTACCCTTAGCATTATCTGATATTCTTTCCTCTAGGTTAATGAGTAAGGCCTGTACCTACGTCCTTCCTAGGTGGATCTATATAGATAGGAGAACACCTGCCGTTAGGAGCCGGGTTGGGAAACCTGTGAACCTCTAGATGTTATGGACTATATCTCCCCTAATGCTCTTACAGCCCTAATGCTGGCAAGGCATCATGGGACATGTAGTCCACACTGTGGCGGGATTAATGCAGACAGGCCCCAGGGCAAGAAATTACTTTGGGCCCCGCAGCTCCAACATATTCCACAGTGATGTAGGCATGTTTATTTATGAAGTATGTGTGTGTGAAATGTGGTCTCTTTGTGTATAGTGTTGGCATTTGAATGCAGTTGTGTGTTAATATGTACTTTTGCTACTTAAAAACAGTGGTGTACGTGTGTAATGTATTTGAATGCAGGGGTGTTTGGGTGTGTAGTTTGGTGTTTGTATATAATGCTGATGTTTTAACACAGGTGTGTGTTTGCATGTAGTGTTGGCATGTAATAGTAGTAGTGTGTTTGTATGTAGTTTTGATGTTTGAATTGTGGGATGTAGGGACATATATACATGTGTGGCCGCACACAGTGACACAGAAACACACTAACACACAGATACACACATGTACCCCCACTGACACACAGAGATACAAACATACACCTACACAGACACATACATACTTATACAAACATTTACCTACACACACACACACACACACACACACACACCCATACACAAACAAGTACACACATGCACACACACACACACACACTGGCACAGAGACAGATACAAACATATTCCTGCACAGGCACATAAACACACTGCACACATGCAAGCATATACCCACACACACACACACAGGGCCGCCATCAGGGCATGACAACCACAACGTTTGTCATGGGCCCGACGGTCCTGGAGGGCCCGGACTGCTCTGGGAGTCCCGGGCCCCACATTTCATATGTGCACATATAGATAGCGATTATCGCTATCTATATGTTCATCTGCGGGCCCCGGCTACCTGTACAATGCCAGCACCATCTTAACTTTCCAGCCGCTCCTGTGCCTGTAACTCTCGCTCCCTCCACGGCCAGCAGATCATTGTCACGCAACGCTCAGCGCGGCACGCAGGCACAGCTGGCCCCCGTCTACATTGTACAACGGCTGGCTCCCTCCACCATACCACCAGGGATGCAATCTCCCCCCTCCCTGGTCAGGTAAGAAGCAGGGAGGGGGAATAAAATTGTGTAGCAAATAAATGTAAATACCACCAAAAAGGCTCCCCTCCCCCCCAATGCAGCCCCCTATTTTACACATTTACACACACTAAAACCCCAACACAAACACACACTGCATTCACCATGCACACACTAAAACCACAACATAAACACACACTGCATTCACCATACCTACACTAAAACCGCAACACACACACTGCATTCACCATACACACACTAAAACCAGAACACAAACACACTCCGCATTCACCATACACACACTAAAACCACAACACAAACACACACTGCATTCACCATACACACACTAAAAACACAACACAAACACACACTGCATTCACCATACACACACTAAAAAACTAAAAACACAACACAAACAAACACTGCATACACCATACACACACTAAAAAACACAACACAAACACACACTGCATACACCATACACACACTAAAACCACAACACAAACACACACTGCATTCACCATACACACACTAAAAACACAACACAAACACACACTGCATTCACCATACACACACTAAAAAAACTAAAAACACAACACAAACACACACTGCATACACCATACACACACTAAAACTACAACACACACACTGCGTTCACCATAAACACACTAAAACCACAACACAAACACACACTGCATTCACCATATACACACTAAAACTACAATACAAACACACACTGCATTCACCATACACAAACTAAAACCACAACACAAACACACACTGCGTTCACCATACCCACAATAAAACCATAACACAAACACACACTGCATTCACCATATACACACTAAAACCACAACACAAACACACTGAATTCAAATACACACACTAAAACCACAACACACACACTGCATTCACCATGCACACACTAAAACCACAACACAAACACACACTGCGTTCACCATACCCACAATAAAACCACAACACAAACACACACTGCATTCACCATATACACACTAAAACCACAACACAAACACACTGCATTCAAATACACACACTAAAACCACAACACAAACACACTCTGCATTCACTACACAAACACACACTTTATCTAAAACACACAAAACTACAACCATTATACAAATGTGCAATCTGTATCCATTTTACACACCAAACAGACAGGGCATCCTTGTGAGCGGACTCAGAATGGGCCCTGTCGGCAGACTCGGGGGTGGGTCCGGATGGCCCAGACTTTGAACTGTGTTGGGGCCCCAAAATTTCTGATGGCTGCCCTGCACACACATGGTGACACGACATAGTGTGTGTGAGGGGGTGATTCTGTGTGTGGGAGGGGGTGACATTGTGTGTGTGGAAGGGGTGATCCTGCGTGTGAGCAGGGTGATTGTGTATGGGAGGGGGGTGATACTGTGTGTGTGTGTGGGGGGGGGTGATTCTCTATAGGAAGAGGGTGATACTGTGAGCGAAGGGGACAGTGGGGTGATAGTGTGTGGGAGGGGCGAGATGGTGTGAGGGAGGGCGGTGATGGTGTGAGGGAGGGCGGTGATGGTGTGAGGGGGTAATGGTGTGAGGGAAAGGGTAATATTGTGAGGAAGGTGGGTGATGGTGTGAGAAAGGGAGGTGATGGTGTGAGGGATGGGGTTTTGGTGTGAGGGACGGGGGTGATGTTGAGAGGGATGGGGTGATGGTGAGAGGGAGGGGGGTGATGGTGTGAAGGAGGGGGGTGATGTTTGAGGAAGGTGGGGTGATGGTGAGAGGGAGGGAAGTGATGGTGGGAGGGAGGGGGGCAATGGTGAGTGGGGCTCCCTGGTGGTCCGGTGGTGATATCCGGTCTGCAGCTCCGCAGTGTTGTGCAGAGCTGCAGAACATGTATCTTGCGAGACCCAGTCAGAGCGTTGCCATGGTAACTTGCGGCAATGCTCTGATTGGCCAGATCTCGTGAGACTCATGGTCCGCAGTTCTGCACATTGCGGTGCTGCAGATCATTGGCCACGGGCGCTCTCCTCCTGGGCAGACAGCATGGAGGGGCCTCGCACCCGGCGGCATACTGAGCAAGCCATCAGGCAACCTCCTGGTGTCGGGTCCTCGTTCAGTGACCGAGGACCTGACACAGTCTGCCCCAAGGCGAAGGCGGCCACGAGGCCTTAGGCAACCGCCTAAACCACCTAATTAGAGAGCCACCTCTGCACGCAACCTCATCTCAACAAACCTCGCATTTACGCATTCAAAGGTATACCCCAATCTTTTACATATATGCATGTGTAATATATATAGAGGAGAGTGCATTGAGGAAACTGGCCTTGGGGCAGTGAGGAGATTAAATTTGGCCGTGCATAGGCTGCGTTAAATTTATTTGAAAATATTTCATTATTTATATTATTTTATTTTACAAATAATATGTAAATTAGTTAACTCTCAGCATGGTTCATGTATTGCATTCCTCCACTAGATGCCTGAGCGTGTCAGCATGCACCTGAGGCACCATGGGACAGTGACAGGTTCACTTTAATCAACATAATGTGTGACTTCATTAGGTTAATCATTAAGTGTTGACGTTCAGCATCTTAACCTCTTTTCTTCTGTAGAAGCTTCGATTCCTGCTGAACATGCATCAAAACAGTTAAGTAGTAAGTGTTTTTTTTGTTTTTTTTTCTCATAAATATAAGAAATCTGCCTGGGAATTGTACCACTAGTATTCGCTGTGATAGTTATTGATTGGGCATAAGTGAAATGTCATTTAAATAAATTAGTGTAATCATACAACCCACATGCTATTTTCAGAGGGCAAAAAAACGAAAAACAAATTCCATTACAAGAAACAGAGTTTTGTTTATCGGGTAACTGGTTATGCACTAAGGTAATTATTCTGTTAGAGTTATGTGCCATTTCTCCTGCACTCGCCCGAGGGGCCTTCAAAAAAGAATAGAATTAATTCTATGCCAGAAACACGAGGTTCATAACTTCATCTCTGTCATAAAACAGGAGTCACACAAACAAAATGACATTTTCTTTCATAATTGCTTGACCTGCACCACTCCGAGGGTAATCAGCTTGCTCGCAAACTTTTGTTCCACTTTTAAAGAAGTTATAATAAAGGGAAATTGTAACTCGTAATGCCATAAACCATTAGAAAAAAAAAATATATAATAAAAAATATACATAAACTGGTTGACTTAAACCAATTGCATCGTTAATTATAATAAGCATTAATTTGATATTTTTAGGTACATTGAACAATAAATAAATAGTTTCACTTCTGTTTTCTAAAAGAATCTGAGCTCAGACAAGAAAAATGCATTGCTATTTTCTTCGGTTCCTCTGTAAAATAGGTCAAAAATAAAACATGGAACTTAAAGGGACATTCTAGGCACTGTAACCATTTCATCTTATTGAATCAGATATAGTTCCTGGAGTCCCCCGGCACTGTTAAACCATTTCAAGCAGTTTCTGTCATGATCACTAGAGGAACCTAAGCACACAGACGGGACACTACACATAGAATCAGTGGTGTATCCTGGTTTTGTGCTGCCCTAGGCTGCCCACTGACATGGTCAGTGGGTCTGGGCTATTCTAAGTGGTGGAACTCTAGTTCCCCCCCAATCCCCACCCATTGGACCTAGTGTTTTCCCCCAGCCACTGCCTATGGGTAATAATATTAAGGGGACATAACATATTTTCCTCCCTCTTTCCCTGGCCCGTTTGGCCGGTGGAGACCCTAATCATAAAATTCAGAGAGAGAAGACCTAGTGTCCCCTAAAGCCCCCTAAGGCAGTAGGTGGAGATTATAAATAATTACACAATGTGGGCCTGATATTGTTTAACAACCCCAAATAGTGGCAAGTATACCAAATTCCCTACTGATTGGCTTGGCAGCTCAATCTCCTAGCTACCCCTTATAAAATTAAAAAAACTCTACCTACCTTCCCTCACTCTAATAATAGTGAGGGGACAATTAAACTATTACCTGTGAATTGATAAAATTATACTTACCATCAAAAGTCTCCATTCTTCTAACTCTTCCTTTCTTCAGCCCATCCAAGTACTGGTCAGCCACCACATAATTAATCCTCGCACTGCCAAGGGTTTTTTAACTGTTTGCCTGCTACCTGCTAGAGCTGCCAGCAGACAAATAGAACTAAAAATGATCATTCACTTGCAAATAAGCAGGTGAACGATAATTTGTGAATGTGCATCCTGCCAGATGTATTTGGTTCTGAATTTTAGTAAAACCAGTGCCTTGTGAGTACAAATTAAAGGTTAAGATGCAAAAGCACCAATTTGAATCTGGACACCGAATGCATGTGGGCAACAGCTTGGGCCGAACGAAATCCAACTGTATTTGGCTTTAGGAAATGTGAGTCTTGCCATTGCAGTTGAAAATCGGTCTTATTTCACCATATTTTGACATTTACGGAAAAATTTTGTCTCTAGTGAATAATCCTGTTAGCCCTTTTTTATGTCAATGTATATATGCTACTGAATCTGTTGGCGCTATACAAATGGCAATAATAATAATAATAATAATACCTGCACACAAGAGCAGAGAAGTGCAATTGTACCTCGTTTTTTTTTTATCATTTAAAATCTATGTGAATGTACAGTTTATATTATATTTTCTCTGGGTGCAATACCCAAATATAACGTACAGGACGTGCATATCCTCTTTGAGTTGTTCCCACTCTGCTCTTTCTTTCTTTTTCCAGTTATTTGGGACCAATCTTGTTTTGCTCTGCTGCTATGGGAGAGTAGCTAAACTGGAATCATAACAGACCTAGAGATTTTTTTTGTAGGTTTAGCTATTTTGTTCTCAAATTTAAAATCTACTTTGAATACTCACTTTTTGACTCTGTACCAGGAATTAAAAATGAAATTAAAGTAAATTTCAAATTTAAGGCTAAAATAATCTAACTGGAAAAAATCTCCAACTTACCTGTGCTTCAAATTACGCTATGTTGGCCTTACATGTGAAATTCTGTTCAAATTCACTTCAAATTCATGTCAATTCTCCCTTTATTATTATTATGTTATTTATATAGCGCCATCAAATTCCACAGCGCTTTACAATGGGTGGACAAACAGATGATAGTGTGTGTAAATGCCAGTAGGTGTCTAATTGCTGAGCATTGGAACACACAAGACTTGCACACAAATCTTGTTCAGCTGCAATGAATTAATCAAATGCCTGTTAAACACTGGGTGAACAGAATAGGTTATTTTTCTGGTACGAGTGAGTAGAGCGATTAACAGGCACTTGAATGGCTCAGCAGAGATGAACAGGTTGTGTGCACAATTCTAAAACTCACCCTGGAATTCCTTCATTTGCAGAGGCTGTGCAATATATTGAGCTGTTAAAATGGACCGGGTTTCTGCAATCGCCTCTCAACGCGACTAAACAATGTCAAAACAGTACCTCGAGGGATATCAGCTATACATCACTGACGATGCCTAACACGGCTGAAACGGTCATATGGGGTTGCTGTATCTCTTATGCAGAGAGAGCCAACCTGCATTCTGGATCTGGACAGCTCTTTTGGGTGGGATTAGTCTGATATGCAAATGGACCTGGTTCTTTTTATAATGGCACAAGATGAGCTAAAACCAGCTTGAAGGGCAGACTATTTGAGCTGTTGTCCATGCTCAGTACTCTCTTGCACCTTGTTTTTTTTCCTTTCCATAAGTTAAAAGGGTAATCCAGGCGTAGACTCCTTGCTCACGGTGCCTAGAGGGATATCAGTTATACCTCACTAACGATGCCCAACAAGGCTGAAACAATCGTCTGGGGTTGCGTTATCTTTTGTGCAGAGAGAGACGGCACGCATTTCGGATCTGGACCGCCATTTTAGATGGGATCAGTCTGATATGCAAATGGCCCTTGTTCTTTTTATAATGGCACAAGATGAGCTAAAACCAGTTTGAGATTTGAGCGGGAACCCACCGAAGGGCAGGCTATTTGAGCTTTTGTCTGTTCTCGGTACTCTCTTGCACCTTATTTTTTGCACTAAGCAATGTCAAAATGTCAACCGTCCTCAGTGCTTATAGACAGTCCTAAACTATATAATGAAATAGGCTATCTTAAATATAATTTCTATACTTTTGTATGTTAAATGACTGCAATTATCAATGTATATCCACTGTTTAGTGCAAAGTATTCCATGTGTTGTAAAGAAAAAGGCTCTGCTAGTTCATGTCTAGTCATAATTAGTAGGCTATAACTGGTTACAGTCTGTCCCATAAGTGCCTCGCTAGTGAATTGCTTTACTGAGCAGGGACCCATGCCTCTTCTCGTATATTAAAATAAGCTTGGTAAGATAAAATGTAAGTGCGTAGGAAGTGGAAGGTGGTGATTTATTGAGCATGTCACCATAAATGATTCTTAAATCCAATCAATGTAATTCTTTAATGGATTTGATGCTGATGCACAGTCAGTTCTGTGAAATATTTGATTGATATGCAGATTCCCATTTCATTAGCGCACAATATTTAATTAACTCTATAATTCCAGAGATTGCATCGTGACGTTACAGTTGCAGGGAAAAATAATCAGACATTAAAAAAGTTTTTTAAAAAGTTGCTAATTAATTATTTGCAGGGAAACAAAAAGGCACTAATTGAATGATAATTCTGCAGAAAAAAAATGAAACTAGTTTAATAGAGAGTTTCAGATCCTTATTGTTCTCGCTGTGAGACACAAAGTCCACTGCTGGAGCCGAAGTCTATTTACCCAAATCCTGTCCTACGTACAATCCTGTTAATGAACTTGTCCCCACAGAAGGGTTTCTATTGGTCCTTTATTCATTTGCAAAATATAATCATATCAGTCTGTACATTTAAAAATCAGGATTTAAATCGAGTCTTACTGACTAGTGATTAAATAAATCAAATCCTGTATTTCCCATACTGTGTTGTTCGTTTATCTTCATCACTACAATCTTCTATTTCTAAACTAAGGTTGTGCTTTTCCTCGTGCACTTTTCAACAAATTGAGAACCATCCAGATGTCTATCCAGGTTGTATTATCCCATCCGAACGCTGTACATCTCCCTGTAAGTTAATGATGTAACTCTGTGTGCTGCCCTTCCTGTCTCTCAGCAATAAACCCTTCGTTAATATTAAGGAAGTAATTTCTCATAATTATCTGCTAAAAAAAGAATATAAAAATTTAAATCATACTGGCATACATCTATTGTCTTACAAGTGCTGATGACCACATTAAAGGGTCACTCCAACCCAAAAACTGGATTAAAAAAAAAAAAAGCTTTTGAATAGAGAAAGGCTAGACTGGGAAAAAAAACTGGCCTGGGCATTTTTCAATCACAGCGGAGAAGGGTGCGGGGCCAGACAGGGTCCTGTGTTTTGTCATCACTAATGACAAGTACAACCCCTCTCAAAGTAAGCATGTTGGTTCACTGCGCAGAGCCCCGCTAAAGAGCTCTAGCATGAGAAAAGGGCCCTGTATTAGTTCTGCGCAGCGCCAGCAAATGTTATAACATGCTTGCGCTGTGTTTGCTTTTAATTTGTCTCTGGCGTCTCCATAAGTGGGATACCAAAAGACAAAAGGACCAGGAAAGCGTATGGAGCATGTGTTTGGAGCCTGCTTGTGGGATTGCGTGTGTAGAGTGAGATGATTGTGGTGTGGTATTAATATGTAATATGTGTGGCTAGGGGCTGTAGAAGGTGTGCATATAGGGGGCATAGTGTGTATAGGGGATGTAGAGAGTGTGTGCATACGGGCTGTAGAGTGTGTGTGTCTCTATAGGTGACGTAGTGTGTGTAGGGTTTGTAGAGAGTGTGTGTTTAGAGAATGTTGTATGTGTTTGCATACAAGGAATGTAGTGTGTGCATAGCGGATCCAGAGATTGTATGTCAGGAATGTAGTGTGTGTAGGTGGTGCAGTGTGTGTATAGGGAATCTAGTGTGTAAAGGACCCAGAGTGTGTATAGGAGATTGTATGTGTGTGTGTGTGTGTGTGTTTGTAGAGGATTCAGAGTGTATATAGGGTAAGGGATCTAGCGTGTATCTGGAGCATAATGTGTGTAGTGGTGCAGTGTGAGGGGTTCTGTAGTGTATGTATATATACATATACAAAAATATATAAATATGTTTTGACGTATTGTATGTGTGAAGGGTGCAGCATGTGTGTGAGGGGTGCAGTGTGTGTGTAAGAGGGGTGCAGTGTGTGTCTGAGGGTGTTCTTATCTACCGTCACATTCTGTTTCTAATTTTCTTTATCTGTTAACTCACTGATGGTTATTTTATATATGATATATATGTATATAAAAAAACATATATATATATATGTGTGAGTGTGTGTGTGTGTGCTGTATATGTGTGAGGGTGCTGTTAGTGTTAGTGTAATTGTGTGTGCTGTGTGTGTGAGAGTGTGCTTTGTGTGTGTGTGGGTGCTGTCTGTGTCTGAGGATGCTGTGTGTGTGTGTGTGTGTGGGTGCTGTGTGTTTGTGAGGTTGCTGTTAGTGTTAGTGTGCATGTGCTGTTTGTAAAGGAGTGTGCTGTGTATGTGTGCTGTGTGTATATGAGAGAGCAGAGCTGCCATCAGAAATTTTAGGGCCCCTGACAGAGCTCAAGATCTGGGCCCCCGGGGCCAGCCCCGAGTCCGCCCACAAGGATGAAGTGTATGTGTGTGTCTATAGTGGATGTAGAATGTGTGTCATTGATGCAGTGTGTATTGTAGATGCAGATTGTACGTTTTGTGTAATGTATGTAATGTTTGTATGCATGCATTAGATGCAGAGTGTGTGTGTAGTGAATGTAGGTGTGTATAGTGAATGCAGAGTGTATGTTTGTGTAGTGAATATAGTGTGTGTTACAGTGAATAGAGAGTGTGTGTTTTTGTAGTGGATTTAGTGTGTGTACAGTGAATGCAGAGTGTGTGTTTTGTAGTGGATGTAGTGTGTATAGTGCATGGAGTGTGTTTGCAGTGATTGTAGTGTGTTTGTAGTGAGTGCAAAGTGTGTATAGTGCATGTAGTGTGATTGTGGTGAATGCAAAATGTGTATAGTGAATTTAGTGTGTTTGCAGTAAGCGCAAAGTGTATATAGTGATTGTAGTGAGTGCAAAGTGTGTATAGTGCATGTAGTGTGATTGTAGTGAATGCAAAATGTGTATAGTGAATGTAGTGTGATTGTGGTTAATGCAGAGTGTGTGTATAGTGAATGCAGTGTTTGTAGTGAGCGCAAAGTGTGTTTAGTAAATGTAGTGTGTTTGTAGTGAGTGCAACGTGTGTATAGTGAATGTAGTGTGTGTAGTGCAAAGTGTGTTTAGGGGGCCGGGCCGTATGGACACCATATGCATGGGCTCCAGCACTAACCCGAGCAAAAAGGCACAAAAAAACATTCCAGACTGCCTAAAAGTCGGATACCTCGACAGCAATGAACAGGGAACGGCCCCATCTCATCATAGACGCCAGCGCACAACATATCACAAGCCGAGCAAGCGACAAAGACCGGGCCCGGCCTACACGCAGCCACAACATGCAGTATGGCGCCGAAGAAAGGCGCAGCCCCGAGACACTGGGCAGATGAAGCCCCCGGTGTGCCGACCGCCTACACTGGCAAAAGCTGTATGTGAAACAACAAGCCAGCAACAGTTGACACAGTCACGGAGGGAAAGGAGAGCTTTAGTGGGGAGGTTTAGGAGCTGATACGGCGGAGGAAGTCCACCCTACAGAGGAAGCACCCAGGAAGAGATGGCAGCGACACAAGAGAACATGGAGGCCGCGGGAGTAAAGGACATTTATTACCTACGCTACAGGCCCTTTGTCTGTCTCAGGCTTAACTGCTTATCACTGGTTGGACTGTGTGCCTTACCCTGAGAAACCACCCCATTGACATGACACCCGCAGGTGGAGGGGGCGCTGGTGGCGATGCACATGGGCGGTGGGGCCAGGTGGGATGCTGACGCGGTGTCCTTGGGGCCCGCTGGCCGAATGCTGTGGCTTTGGGACTGTGCCATGCCGTGATCGAGGTGCCGTCGCCTCTAGGTTTTGAGGAGGGCCTGAAGGTGGCTGTCCCCTACACTGTGAGCCATAGTGAAGGGGAGTGTGGCAGCCCCCGGCAGACCAGTAGCTGAGGGGAAGTCCGCGCCTAATCTAAGTGGCCAGAGAAGGGTGAGACACATGAAGACCTTCGCCCCGTCTGGCTGGGGCCCTGGAGGCGCAGTGGGGGTACAGGAGATGGCTGGCGCATGGACTCTAGGTGAGGGGTCCTGTGGACTGGTGAGTCCCCGAGTGCCCGCTGCGCTATGGATCTCCCGGTTGGAGGCTTGGCGCAGCCTGGGAGCTGCTGCAGATGGCTGGCACCTCTGGGATCATGTTTATGGGCTTAGAAAAGCACGCCTGTCATATAATGACTCTCTACAATTAAGCTAACCCCCTGCGCTGGCAAATTTAACTCTAATATCATTAATGTACCCGACTTTCAGTACGGCTTAAAGTTTTTTTTGTATGATTTCCAGTCAGTGTACACACGCACAGTTAAAATGTTATGTTGACATCTACCGCTATCACAATGTGCCTCTGTGTAGGCAAACTTGCATTTTGCTATTATACCAACAATGTTGCAACATACTCTGCACTATAAAATAAAAAAACATTTAAAACAAAGTGTGTTTAGTGAATGTAGTTTGTGTGTGTGTGTATGTGAAGTGCAGAGTGCGTTTAGTAAATGTAGTGTGTTTGTAGTGAGTGCAGAGTGTATTTAGTGAATGTAGTGTGAGTGTGTGTAGTGCAGAGTGTGTTTAGTGAATGTAGTGTGTGTGTGTAGTGCAGATTGCGTTTAGTGAATGTAGTGTGTGTGTGTAGTGCAGAGTGCGTTTAGTAAATGTAGTGTGTTTGTAGTGAGTGCAGAGTGTATTTAGTGAATGTAGTGTGAGTGTGTGTAGTGCAGAGTGTGTTTAGTGAATGTAGTGTGTGTGTGTAGTGCAGATTGCGTTTAGTGAATGTAGTGTGTGTGTGTAGTGCAGAGTGCGTTTAGTAAATGTAGTGTGTTTGTAGTGAGTGCAGAGTGTATTTAGTGAATGTAGTGTGAGTGTGTGTAGTGCAGCGTGTGTTTAGTGAATGTAGTGTGTGTGTGTAGTGCAGAGTGTGTGTGTGTGTAAAATAGGGGGGAGGGGAGTATTAAAAAAATATATATATTTGTGTATATTTAAATATTATTCCCCTCTCCCTGCTTCTTACCGTGCCAGGGTGGGGGGAGATCGCATTGTGGAGTGAGCCAGCCGATGTAAATTGCAGAGGGGTGGCCCAGTAGCACACACCCTCTTCCTTTCCAGCTCCTATCTGACTAACTCTTGCGAGACAGGCCTGCGTGCTGTGAGGAGCGTTGCCATGGTAACCTGTGGCAATGCTCTGGCGGCCGCAGAGCGCAGGAAAGTTAGACAGAGAACATCTGGAAAGGAAGACAGAGTGTGCTGCTGGGCCCCCCTCTGCAATGTACAGGTAGCAGGGGGCCCTCAGTGCACACATATATATATATATAGCGAAAATCCCTATATATATATGTGCACATAAGGAATGTGGGGCTCGGACTGCCAGAATAGTCCGGGCCCCCCAGGCCCGCCGGCCCATGACAACCGTTATGGTTGTCATGCCCTGATGGCGGCCCTGTGAGTGAGTTCTGTGTGTCTTAGTGTGCTGTGTGTGTGGGTGCTGTGTGTGTCTGAGGGAACTGTTAGTATGAGTGTACTCAAAACTTTATATCCCCCCCTCTTCTTACCTTTAGCCTGGGGGGGAGAGGGGAACTGTGCTGCCATGGAGGGGGGACTGTGCTGCCATCTGTGGTGGTCTTAGTGGTGAGTGAACTCTAGCCTGCAGGGCTAGAGTTCACTCTCGCGAGATCTGAGCGTTGCTGTGGTAACCGCGGCAACACTCCGACCTCGCGAGATGAACCCGGCAGAGCTGCTTGGTAGACCTCCCCGGGCTCTCTCCTGCCGCCCTTCCTCCCCAGCCGGCGGCCGCATGTCAGTGCCTGAGGGCCGTTGAAGGAGATCTTTGATCTCCACACTGGCCCATGAAGGTACACAGTAGGGCCTGTGATCTCCCCTGCCAGCCTCAGCCCATAGCCATCGCGGCCCACCGGGCATTTGCCTGGTATGCCTGATGGCCAGCCGGGCCTGGATCAGAGTAAACTTTCCAATTTAGGTTCCTCCCCTCCTCCAATTAAATAAATAACAGCTAAAATTGAACTGCTTTCCATCACTGAAGCCAGGTCTTCGATGTTTATCTACTGACACCATAACCCCTGGTGGAGTAGGAGGGATGTCAGGGAGGACGACTGAGGGGAGGATGGGTGGCAGGTTGGGGGAGCCCACGCTGCCATTGGCTGCCTGTCACGAACATAGTGCCGGCATACATGCAACAGTTTGCACAGAATTCACTTTTGCCACCCAGAACAATTTTTCCAGGCTGCCTGGTGACAGTTGAGTTACACCTCCATCAGCAGATTGGTTAATCTCAGCATGTACAGTGTTTCCTGGAAGATTCCAGGCACCATGAACCCTGCAAATCAATGGTCATGGTGCTTGGGTTAAATATCATGAAAATCAGTGATGTTACAGGATTTTAAGAAAAGACCAAGCAATGAGATTGATGTAATAGTATTAATACAGGTCTCTCTTCATCTTTAATGGTTTCAAATCAACAAATGAATAACATTAGTAGACATTTGTAGATATGAAAACAGGGTCCATATGGTTTCTTAATTCTAAATAGACGTGTAATTTGTGAAAAAGATTATCTTCAAACTTGTCATTTACTAGTTTATACTCCATACCCCAATCCATGATCTTAATCCAAAGCATGATTACAAGACATAAAATTTATCTCTGCCCTCAAAACTCCCACTACTCATGGGTGGCAGCAATGGCTATAGAATTCATCAGCCCAAATTCATAGAACAAAAGCAAAAATGTTACCTGCACACCATCCCAAATCCCTATCTAAATTTAAATAAGAGGATTTTGTAGTACAATTTCAATGGCTGTTAAAGTGTAGGTTCACCTGACCCATGATGGCAAACCTCATAACTGAGTGAGTCTCATTAGAGATTTTCCCTTTTCTCATAAAAGTGAATTGTTAGTGTAGGACTCCTCTACAAGGTGTCCCTTGACAGGGCTGATGAGCTTACACTTTAAAGGACCACTATAGGCACCCAGACCACTTCAGCTTAATGAAGTGGTCTGGGTGCCAGGTCCAGCTAGGTTTAACCCTTTTTTCTATAAACATAGCAGTTTCAGAGAAACTGCTATGTTTTTATATTAGGGTTAATCCAGCCTCTAGTGGCTGTCTCATTGACAGCTGCTAGAGGCACTTCCGCGCTTCTAACTGTGATTTTCACAGTGAGAAGACGCCAGCGTCCATAGGAAAGCATTGATTAATGCTTTCCTATGAGACTGGCTGAATGCGCGTGCGGCTCTTGCCGCGCATGCACATTCAGCCGGTGATGTCAGAAGAGGGAGCCCGGCGCTGGAAAAAAGGTAAGGGATTAACCCCTTCCTCCCCCTTCAGCGCCACGGGAGTATGTTTTCCTGGCTCTATAGTGGTCCTTTAATGGTCATTAGAGTGGTACTAAAAACCTCCTGTTATTTAAAATGCATATGGCTTAAGGTTAGTGGGTACTGTATAGGTAACTTTTTGTTCTATATAAGTGGGCTGATGTATATTGTAGCCATTGCTGCTCCCCAAGAGTAGTGAAGGATTGAGCTAATTGCTTAATTGTATGTGTTTGTTTCTGTATTACACAGAGATGTTACAGTGCTGCCGCCCACCACATAAATTCCCTATTAGGGATTAATAAGGGTGTAAGACAGAAGAAGACAACCTTCGGCACTCCTGATTTTGTGGACTATATCTCCAATAATGTTGGCAAAGCATCAAGGGAGGTGTAGTCCACAGCATCTTGAGTGGTAAAGGTTGCTTACTCCGGGTGTACTGGTACATAGGAATTCCCCTTCCTGTCTATTTCCATAAAGCAGAACGGTGAATTGTGAGTGTAGGACTCATCTAAGAGGTTTTTCTAGATAGGGCAGGTGAGCTTACAATTTCATGGTCATTGGAGTGGTACGAAAAACATTCTGCTGTGTACCTGCCCATAGGGATTTGGGATAGTGCGCAGGTAACTCTTTTTGTTTTCATTTTATATTCTAGAAACATTGAACCTAATAATATTTCATCCATTTTCACTGCACCTTGGGGGGAATAGAAATTTATTAGGAAAATACTTTAGGAAAATAAATATAAAGAAAAATAAACAAGTGTAGTACCGTTCTAGACAACACAGTGAGGGGGATTCCCTTAGAGAGAATTAAAGCTTTTAATCACGGCAGGATGTTGATTAGCGCATAGAATCCTGAGCATAAAGGTAATTTTAATCAGACACCAAAAGGACTTCAAAAGCATCACTAATAAAGCCCCCCAAAGGGCACTTGAAAAATACTAATGTATCAAATAAAGTAAATAGCTGGTTGGTTGCTTTCCCATATTGAATTAGAACATATCTGTGCATGTTTATTTTAAATTGTTTCTTTACCTGTTTGACAATGTTTCACATTATTTTGGCAATTAAATTGTTAGAGGGATGTATTCAATATAAAGTCAGTTTTCAATGAGTTTTGGAAACTTTGTTTAAAAAGTCTGCAGAATGTGGCTAAAAATTGCACTTTGCAATCAGCTCAAAGTTCATGTATTACTGAAAAGCCTAAAAGGCAAAGTATTTTTTAAATAAATGTTGAAGTTGAAAAGATACAAAATATAAATAAACTAACACCTGAGTAATAGCTCCTGTGTATTACCTTAAAGGGACACTCCAGGCACCCAGACCACTTCTGACCATTGGAGTGGTCTGGGTGCCAACTCCCACCACCCTTAACCCTGCAAGTGTATTTATTGCAGTTTACATAAACTGCAATAAATACCTTACAGGGTTAAGTCCTCCTCTAGTGGCTGTCTATCAAAAGTGTTTTAAACGAAAAGTGTTTTAAACGACACTGGACGTCCTCACGCTATGCATGAGGACATCCAGCGTCGCCGGAATCCCTATAGGAAAGCATTGGATAATGCTTTCCTATGGGGAGGTCTAAAGCGCGTGCGCGGCCATTGCCACACATGCGCATTATGTCTCCCCTGCCGGTGGGGGAGGAGCATGGGCGAAGCCTGACCCAGCACCGCGAGACATCGGTGCTGCATTCAGGTAATTCACTGAAGGGGTTTTAACCCCTTCAGCAAAATGGGATGGGGGTGGGAGGGAGAGGGGCACTGCATGGTCCTGCAGTGCCAGGAAAACGGATATGTTTTCCTGGCACTGGAGAGTCCCTTTAAACATTAACAAACTCACTCATACAGCTAAAGGAGCTATTTAGTGTTAGGTATGCAAAGAAATATAGATATATTTTTAACACTGACATGTTTCTTGCCCCACCGCCGCTGGCATTGTAAAGCATTACATAACCATTTATTTACTTACCCGATTCCAGCGATGATGTTCTGATACCAGGAGATGGAATGTGATGCCACCCCAGCTACAGCATTAGTATGGAGAGGCAGGGAGCTGTGCATTCCATGCACAACGAGATTCCAGTCGTTATAGTGCATAATGAACCCATACTAATTGGTTATACTGGTGCAGAGGCAACAAACTTTAACAAAAGAGAAATCCAAACAGAAGCAGAAAAAGCGTCACTGATTACATTTGTCACTGTTGCAACGACTGAGATTTTAGCTGTTGTTGTTTGAATAAGCCCCATGGTACCTTTTTTACTCTGATTTGTTAGCTATAGATTTGGCACTTGCCACCTCTCAATATGTTTGTGTGTATATTTATTTATATATTTAGAAGGGAGAAAAGAGAGCTAATACATTTGAATCTTTAGGAAATTAACAGAATAAACATTGGGTATAACCCAAGCGAAATGTAACAATTACTACCATAACAAACAAACTGTTAATTAACTAAAGAACATCGAGTATAGAAAAGAAAAAACTTATAAGGATTCATTCTTACCTATGCTATCTATCCAACACATGTAGCATTGGGATTAAGTTACCATTACTTTATTACTTTCTTGCTATTTGTAACTTGATAGGCTAGTACTTCTATAAGCTACTGATTATACATTTCTGTTGCTATTTAATATATATATATATTTATATAAATATAATATCATTTTATATATATCTATTGTCTATTAGTTTTATATTTCGACTGTCATGTTGATTTTAGTTTGATATACATTGAAAGCTAAGTGTTATCTATTATATACATTTATATATTTATTTCGTTTTTTAAGTGGTATGATTTAGTGGAGGAAATTGTGAGTGTCTCCCGCATTTTGATTGTGGTGTCTTATATTCCTAAATTGTTCTCAGATTCACCACTGACCACACATAACACTTTGCCCCTCAGTCCTTAGAGCAGTAGCATGTTTAACTGTCTCCAGAAAAAAACAAACCAAAAAACACTGCAGTCAATAGGGTGTAATTTGGTGGGAATTAGAGTATGAGGTGTTTTACATACTCCTACATAATACGGCTTATGATTCAAAGCAACATTAATTCATTTTGCATTGTACAAGACACATTATTTTTTGCATTTCTTGTGAAAATTTATCTTCTTTTTCTCCATGTGTGTTTTTTATTATTACGCTCTAAACATTAATTCTTCTTATTAATTTTTATTTTGAGGGGAGAATATTACAACAAGCTGATGATTTTAATCAAGTATCATGGTATGTTTTGGTCAATTTTACATGACAGAGTTGTTTTGTTTTTGTAGAAAGAGATTAAGAAAGATGTCATTGACCCATATATTTATAGGAATCAGCCTTAATCTATATATAAAGAATCGATCTCCAATTTTACCACTGGAAGAGTCTTCGTTACTTCTTGGCTTGTGAGGCTATTTTTGGACCATCCGATATTACCTTGCTGAGTTGAAGTATTTGGTGCCATTAGGAGCACTCAGATGTGTATTACAAAATAATATGAGCATCATTCAGAGTGATTATAGCAGTGATTATAGTCTTTATCCCACACCATGAGTCGAGACTACATGCAGGGGCTACCAAAATGCAAAAGAGGTTCAGGCACTCCAACAGCTTCAGGCAAATATATTAGAACTGAAGGTACCGTGCAATGTTTCGACCCACAAATGGGTCTTTGTCAAGTATACATACAGGGGTTAAACAGAGCGGACTGTATTGCTGCTGTGCAAAGGTATTTATACCCAAAAAGGGAATTTGCACACAACAGGGTAAGTAACAGTACATACAGTGCCATATCAAGTCCTCTTCCCATAACACAATGTTTTTCTTGCTGAAAACAACCCTTAGGGCCACAAACAAATACTCACCTCCATTTTGTCCCTATAATTTAAACAACCTAAAAAAATGAATGCACCTTGTAAAATTACCACCCAAGCAGGAGGAAAGCCTAACCTGCAACCCTGGGTCCATGACGGCCAGAAACCGTGAAAACCTTTCTTCTAGACTTCAAAATCGCAGTCAAATATCTCCTTGGATCAACAAGCTCTTACCCCACATATTAATTACTATATATATCCTTGTGTATTGAGTTTACTATTTTTTCAAGCATCCTGACATTGTTCTGATGAATCTGCCAGAATGTGATAAAACAACCTCTTTAGACAGAGAATTCACCAACTTTATTGTTCATACTATAACAAACTCCCACTGTAGTAGAAATCTCCTATTCAAGTCTAATTAGGTGACCACTTCTTTATACAGTCCTATTAATGGTTACCTATTGTTCAACTAGTGTAGTGGAAAGAAAAGTATTTTTTTGCGCAGAACAGTATCATATGTCTTAGCAAATCACATCCATACATACTACAGCACCTTTTATACTTCTACCAACTTCTTTATAAAATGCAAACAAATTGGCTTAATGCGATCTATTTTTCAAAATGTTGATTACTACTAATGAAATGGTTGTTCACAATTAGGTCATGAATATTAACCCTTAATAACTCTTCAATTAATCTCTCAAATCACATGTAAATTTCACTTGTCTGTGAAGGTGCACTTTCTTTTTTGACTTTTTTTTTTTGGTAAAATGTTTATTGAATAATTTCAGTGTTAAAGTACACGCAATACAGATATGAAGCATTAGACTCACTTCTTAAATAACTTGAGAATTCTCCAAATAGCAGTTATAAAAAAAAAAAGTAGAAGAAAGAGATTTATAACATGGTACCCAGTATAACTATTTAAGTGATTCTTAACTTTTTATAAATAGTTAGACCGTTAACAACTTTTCTTTGGGCTGGTCTTGCTCTCTCTGGCTATTGATGATGTATTTTCTAGTTTAGCCGATCTAACTGGTATCTTTTAAGCCTTGTTGGCATCCTTATATTTTATATACAGTGCTTCTGTCCCATCTAACTTAAATGCTTCCAAATGCAATTTTTTTATTTTTTATTACCTAATGATATATGCTGTGAAATGTGCTTTTCCATGTTTTCTCAGAGAAAAATTCCCGACAGCCTATTAGTTATAAAATTGCCTTAATCTATTGAAATTGACCTTTTTTCTCAAAATGAGATGTTTTAGTGAACCAAATATAAAGTTGCATCACACCATATTGTGGTCACTTTTACTGAAATAGTTTACCCAGATGTGCAGCTTTTTCAGTTTATTCTAACAGCTAAGCTTTCCCATCATTATCAATAGTTCAGGGTTTAGAACATATTACTACAAATAATGTATTGTCTTCTTATCTGCTCATATTTACATCCATATCACCATCCTTGAAGCATTTGAATGTTTTTCTTTAATCTGGACATACGAGTGTCTTTCTTTAACTGGGATTTATGTTTACATCTATATCATTACGCACCATACAAGGTTTTAATTTAGGTTTGATATGTAAAAATACCCCTCCCCCCCTTCTCAGTCCTTCCTAAACAATTCATACCCATTTAAATTAACTGCCTTGTAATCCATTTTATCCTACTATGTTTCAATAAAACATTTTATGGTATACTGTTTATCATATGCCAATGACTCAAGTCCCCATTTTATTACTCAGACTCCTTAAATTAACAAGCAGACATTTAATGTTACCATCAGCCTCTAGCACTGAGTTTAATTTGTTTTTTTTATCATATATGTCCTCGGTGATGATCTCAATTCTCTCCTGTTTTCCAACCGACCGATTTTATGTAACTGTATGACCTTTATATTGTATCTAAAATTTGCACATTCTATGTCTCTTCCCCAATTCCTGGTTTAAAGTCTTCTCCAACCACCTAGCCATCTATGTCCCCAGCATAGTCGAGTGTCTTCCATTCAGATGTAATCCATCACAGCTATAAAGATTGTACCCAAGTGCAAAATAATCTCAATGCTCTAAAATCCCCAGGCCCTCCTTCCTACACTAGGACATCGGTCATACATTCAACTTCGTAATCCCCTGTTGCCTCTCCACTCCATCTTCCACTGACTTTCCCATTAATACCAATATGAACCATAGCTGGTTCATCTGTATTTAGTGAAAAACCCCAACAACATGAGACGTTGGGAATTCAAAGTGATATTCAAATTCACTTGAAGAAACTTTCCACTTTGGTTATTTTGGCCATAAATGTAATATTCAGTTGAATTTACTTTAAATTCTCCACAATTCACAGTTTAGTGCATAATTCTATGGAATGTTTCAGATGGCACAATAAGGGTGTGCATTGTAAAAATAATGCTTGCTTTACCCATTGTTACATTTTGACCCATTGCCTATAATATGTATAGAATATAGATGTTTTACCCTTCTTTAATTTAGCACATCTCACAAGGTACAACCTTGATTTGTGTGAATAAATACAATTTAAACCATGATGTTCCCTGCACCTATATCGTATGTATGTTAAAGAACCAATCAAGTCACCTAGGCCACTGTCACAATCCCTGTCCCTCGCTGTGTGATCATGGAAGTGATGTCTCTTCTGTGTCCTGATGCACACCTACTCATCCCTAGCTTCCTGGTGTCTCATTATGACATCATATATGTCATGGAACCCTTCATTGGCCCCCTTTTATAATGTCAGTCTTTGTGGTGTTTTTTAATGTTGTGTAAACACTTGCAACATTATGGCCATCTGTAACCAATCACAACCCAGTACAGGGTACATGTATCCTTACTGGTTGTCCTTGTTTCCTTGCCTTGTCGTGGTTTCTGTTTACCAGCGTGTGCATTATATATTACTTATTATTCCATTTTATGACCTTAACTTGTTTGACCATTCTTAATCTCTGTAACCCTCACCTTGTCTCGTTTCTCTTTTCTGTGTACCTCTGTAATGCCTGACCTTGGCTTGTTAAAGTTTATTCTGTATCTGTTGCAGACTTTCTGACTATAAGTTTAGTGTTACCCCGAGCACTCTAAGGACACATATCTTCCTTAGAGTTAGGGTCAGGCCAATCCTGACAGCCACTTCATCTCAATGCAGTGGCCAGGTTGCAGTGGTCCTGTCCTTGTAACCATGCACTATAAAACATAGCAGTTTTTTAAGAAACACTACATTGCAGGTTTAAATCCTCTTCCGGTGGCTGTCATGCTGAGAGCCATTAGTGGTACATTTGCAGCACAAACTAAATTAAACCCGTTCCCGTCACGTGGAAACATCAATAGTGAAGCAATGACTCAATGCTTGTCTATGGGTAAACAGCAGCACATGCCCACATGAGGAGCACAGGATTGGACACTGGCGGGGGAGGCCATGCCTGCTCTGTGACATCATGGGAGGCGGAGATTTTCAAAGTTAGCTATTTTTATTATTTTATATGACAAAGAGAAGAGAGCTGTTTTTAAATAGGGCCAAAGATACTAAAGTGTTAAGAATACATGTATTTATTTCGGTTTTAGTGTTCCTTTAATATAGCAGATACTGGAATAATTCCAGACATATCTGGGCAGAATTTTATGACTACAGATCTATGCAGCTCTGCTATTTGTATAACCATTGCGAAATAGAGTTCAGGAAATGAGCTGGAGATAAAATCTCAAATCCCAGCCATTTATAAAATGTTTACACTGCTAACCAGGACATGGAATCCGCCCATGAGTCTAATCCACTCTCTATCCAGCGCTCTGTGTTTCAGTACCAAGGACAGCAGCACCTCTACCCCACCCCCTCCTGCCTTTAACTAGTTAGAAATCATAGCCACGCCTCCCAGCACACCCCTGCCTCCTCGACTTCACGCAGAACGTTCGGCTTTGTGACGTCACAGAACCTGCGAACACAACGTTCTACTGGGTCCATGGTTACATTAGCGCGAGACTCAGGTAAAGCTTTTACACTGCAGTGCTGTCCCTAATACAGCCCATACATAATGGGTCAGCTGGAGGAACAGAGGGCTTATCAGCTGTGTCCTCACACATACATGTCGGGGTACATGCCTGGGTACATACCTGGGTACATACCTGGGTACATGTCTGGGTACATGCCTGGGTACATGCCTGGGTGCATGCCTCTGTACATGCCTGGGTGCATGGCTCTGTGCATGCCTGGGTGCATGGCTCTGTGCATGCCTGGGTGCATGGCTCTGTGCATGCCTGGGTGCATGGCTCTGTGCATGCCTGGGTGCATGGCTCTGTACATGCCTGGGTGCATGCCTCTGTGCATGCCTGGGTGCATGGCTCTGTGCATGGCTCTGTGCATGCCTGGGTGCATGGCTCTGTGCATGCCTGGGTGCATGGCTCTGTGCATGCCTGGGTGCATGGCTCTGTGCATGTCTGGGTATTCCTGGTCAGAGTAAGGACAGGTCATATTCACAGACATGCAAGTTGTGCTGTTAGCAGCTCGCAGATTACACGGGGTCCTGTGTTGCTGTGTTATCCTGGGGGTTTTGGACTCAGCTGGGAGCCAAGAATTAGAAGCAGCAATTTGATCTGCTTTACCTTGTGCTCTCCAACATGTTTTTAAAGCAACCCCCTGCTTGATTTATATCCTGGTGGTGGGTGGATTAATCTGCAAAGGTGCAAGGCAGAGCTTCACTCATATAAACAAGGGTATCTGATAACATGTATCTTCTCTATACACTTGGTGAGGCAGGTTACATGGATTATTAATGTGGCTAGCACATATACATTTACATATACACATGGGCATTTCTACATATACAAGTATAAACTTACAAGTTCTATATAAGGAGCAGTATCATTTAGAAACAGATGCGATTGTGTATTTAACATCAGTTACTTTTATTTCTCACTTTTCATATAGCTGGTATAATTAAACTGAGAGCCCTGGAGATGTTAACCTCTGATTTTGGGTACACCGTACAGACAGTCCTTTAATGCCCTGAGTAATTTGTATGATTAATAATAATATAATTAAGTGAGTTACTCCATGCATCATAGCCACTGCTGCCTGCTGGAGTACCCTGGCTCCATTCTCTGGTATTGGGGTATATTGTTCTACAAGAGTTTATCCTCTAGTTCCGCACGGCGCGGAGGGTCCTATCCTGCTGGTTGAACGACATGTGGGTTCTGTAGAACTGCTAGATGCCAATCTCAGTGGCCATTTATTGGTTGAGAGTGTCAGCTGATCATTTTCAGCCAATGAATGCCCCTCTGTGCATAGAAATATTCGCAGCACAGACTTGGCATCAACCAGCCCAGAACTCTTTTTTTCGGCGCTTGTTAACGCACCAGTGACTCAGCAGGAGGTGCAATGTATGAGCAGTGTTTCATCACGACTTATGCACATACAGACTTCAAGCACCATGCCCACTTTAAATCACTGTATTAGTACTCCATACTAATTCTTCTCGACCTCTCTGTTGCCTTTGACACCGTTGATCATGCTCTCCTTCTTCAAACGCTTCAGTAACTCGGTCTCTGTGACTTTGTCCTCTCGTGTTTTTCCTCTTATCTCTCCCAACACTCATTCAGTGTCTTCTTTTCTAATGATACCTCCTTCCTTCATCCTGTTTCGGTTGGAGTCCCCCAGGGCTATGTCATTGGCCCCCTTCTATATTCTCTTTATACTGCCTCTCTTGGCAAACTAATTACCCCATTTGGATTCCACTACCACCTGTACGCTGATGACAGCCATATATATCTCTCCTCTCCGGACCTCTACCCTGTCGTCCTGCAACGTGTCACTGCTTGCCTTTCTTCCATCTCTGACTGGATGTCCTCCCACTTTCTGAAACTAAATCTCTCTAAAACTGAACTCCTTGTCTTTTACCCTCCTAACACTGATCCTCCTCTTTCGCTCTCCCTTCAAGTTAGTGGTTTTCACATAATTCTATCCTTGCAAGCGTGCTGTCTTGGCATCATACTTGATTCTGGCCTCACCTTTAACCCCTTAAGGACACATGACATGTGTGACATGTCATGATTCCCTTTTATTCCAGAAGTTTGGTCCTTAAGGGGTTAAGCCTCACATACAGTATATTTTGAAATCATGTAGAGTCCATCAAAACATAGCCCGCATCTGCCCCTTTCTTACACAAGATGCTATCAAGGAGCTTGTCCATGCTCTAGTAATTTCCTGCATGGATTATTGTAACCCTCTCCTAATTGGTCTTCCCAAAAACTCCGCTACAGTCTGTAATGAATGCTGCCGCCAGACTGATTTTCCTCTCTAGTCGGTTCTCTCACACCTCTCCCCTCTGCCAGTCCTTACATTGGCTTCCTGTATCCTTTGGGAGTCAATTCAAGGTACTAATTAACACCTATAAAGCACTGAACAATTCTAGCTCCTCTTATATCTCTTCACAGATCCATAGGTATGCCCCTTCTTGGTCTCTCCGCTCTGCCTGTGACCTTCTCCTGTCCGTTGTTCGCACCCGTACGGCCAACTCACGTTTGCAGGACTTCTTGCGGGCAGCTGCCTTCCTTTGGAATAGCCTGCCTACTGCTATCAGATTCTCCCCTAGTCTTGCATCTTTTAAGAAGAGCCTTAAAACCCATCTCTTTAGGAAAGCTTATGGCCTCCCAGAGTAACCTCTACCTTACATAACTGTCTCTTGCTCTCTCTTTTTTAAAGGGCACCACTCCACTCTCTCCTCCAGCTCAGCTTCACTCCCACCTTATTTAATTTATATTTCCTGTCCTATTGTGTTTTATACCCCACCTCCTATAGACTGTAAGCTCGTTTGAGCAGGGTCCTCTTCAACCTATTGTTCCTGTAAGTTTTCTTGTAATTGTCCTATTTATAGTTAAACCCCCCTCTCATAATATTGTAAAGCGCTACGGAATCTGTTGGAGCTATATAAATGATGATAATAATAATAATAGTGCTTGGAGTAACTCTTTACGGGATCACACTAAGGTTAAGAATATATTGTTTCTAGCCTTATGCTAGGCTGCAAATTGAGGACCTACTTCCCCTTCCAGTCCTTGCAGCAGCCAAACACCTCATTCTGAGATCATAATGATGGATGCTTTATCCACGCATTGGGGACCTATAGCATATGTGCAGCAATGGCTGCATTCCACCAGTCCTATGCATCTCACAGAGGAGCAGGGAATCCATTGTTGCTGTATTATAATTATTATTATTACTGGTATTTATATAGCACCAGCATATTCTGAAGCGCTTTACAATATAATGAGAAACATTGACAGGGTTCAGTATTGTAATGCTGTGCATGATGAGGCCAAATATGAAGTTCTTTATGAGTAAGTGTCCCAAGTGGCTTTCAGTCAGTGTGCTGTTTGGCAAACATAAACAGTGCTGTTTCTCTTAAATGACAATGTTGTGTTTTTTACTTTTTTTTTTTTTTAATGCAAAAGAAGAGGGAAAGCATTTATGCCCCATAACCACTGCATTAAGATGTAGTGGTTTTCATTATTAAAATGTCCCTTTAACCCATTAAAAACCAATAATGGTTTATGTGGTCACAGCAACAGCTGCAATCAGAACATCAGAGATTAATACTCCTGGTGCATTAACAGAGATTAATTCAACTATATCATCTAACCTTCTGATATATATATTTCTATATATATCTTTTTATATTAAACACTGAAAACACATAAAGCACTTCAGCTTGCTTTGTGACTGGAGTCTGTCATTTTTAAAAATAATTTTATAAAAGTTACGATTTCAGTAGAAATTGGTACTTTTATTACTGGGTTCAAAAGGTCTTTCCTGTCCCCACTTCTCATTGAGCTGTACTGGGAAGCCATGTAAAGCCACATTTGCGTGCATGTTGATGGCTACAACACAGAAGCTTCTCAACAAGAAGGGGGAGGAGGGCTTGCAATAGCTGCAGATAGCAATCTGCAGTTTTCAAGAATTGCGCTTTCCTATACCCCTCAAAAAACATGCAGAACAAAATACATACATGTCTTCTTTGGGGTAAAAGTTTATATTTGCTGTGGAGGTGTTCGTTTAACATTGTAGACAGCACTCTTTTTTATTTTTATTTTTTTTATTGTTTTATTTTTATAGTTTAATTCATATAATGTATTTAAACATTAAGGGCTACTCCAACCACCATGATCACTTATGCATTTGGTCATGGCGGTCATAGCTGAAAAGAGACAACAAGTTCAGCTTTTCTCACTTTTGTTTTTGCTGTTGATTTAACCCCTTAAGGACACATGACGGAAATATTCCATCATGATTCCCTTTGATTCCAGAAGTTGTGTCCTTAAGGGGTTAAAAGAAGGTTAAAAAACCCAGCCTCAAGTGCTTCCAAATTTGCCACTAACTAGGAAAAAATTCCTTCTTGACCCCAGAATGGCAGTCAGATCTCTCCTTGGATCAATCCGCTATTACTCAACAATTTAAAAATGATATCCCTGTGTATTACGTTTTTGCAAGTATTTTTCCAATTGCTGTTTAAACATCTGCATAGAACTACCTCTTCAGGCAGAGAAGTCTGCACCCTTATTGTTCTTACTGTAAACCCCGATGCCACCTTCCCCCCCAAAAAAACAGACAATGGTTTGTATTGACCCCGAATGTATTTTTTCATATAAAATTGTTCATTCTTTTGTAGCCACCCTCTGCACTTTTTCTAGTGCCATAATATTCTTCTTTAGAACATGTGCTCACAATTGCATAGCATATTCAAGGTGTGGTCTTGAATATATGATTTAGTGATTTATAAAGAGACAATTATATTTTCATCCTTATAATTAATGCCCCTTTTTATACATGACAAAACCCTACTGGCCTTAGCAACTGCCGATTGATATTGCACATTGTTGCCTAGTGTGTTGTCAAAAACAATTCCCAAATCCTTCTCGTGTATTGTTATCCATATGGTGTAAGTTGCTTGTGCATTCTTGAAGTGCATAACTTTGCATTTAATCAACATTAAAGTTCATCTGCCATTTAAGTGCCCAGTTTCCCAATCTATCTAAATCACTCTGCAGCAAAGCAATAACCTGCTCACACTTTTTTATTTTACAGAATTTTGTGTCATCTGCAAACACTGAAACATGGCTTTCAATGCCTATTTCAAGATAATTTCTAAATAAATTAAATAGAAGCGGTCCCAGAACAGAACCCTGAGGGACAACACTTACACTTTTGTCCAGCTTGAACGTTTACCACTAATAACAACTCTCTGTACTCTAACTTTAGCCAATGTTCTACCCATGAACAAGAATTGTCATCTAGACCAAGTTCTTTTAGTTGGAGCACTAACCTATTCGGAGGAACGTTATCAAAGGCCTTGGCAAAATCCCAGTATATCAAATTCTCGGATACTCCCTGAACTATACATCTACTCACTTCTTTGTATAATGCAATTAGGTTAGTTTGACATGACCTATGTTTCATAAAACCATGCCGACTATTGCTAATAACAATATTCCTCTCAATTAATTCCTAAATATTATCCCTTAATAACCCTTCAAATACTTTCTCAGCCACATAAGTTAAGTTCACAGGTCTGTAATTTCCAGGCAAATATTTTAACCCTCTTTGAATATAGGAACCACATCTATCTTCCCCCAATCCTCTTGTGTGATTAATGAAAGAAAATAATCTTAAAAGATTAAAACCAGAGATTCACTTATATCCACACTTGGCTCCTTAAGTACTCATGGGTGAATACTGTCAGGCCCCTGGAGCTTTGTTTACATTAACTTTCTTTTGCGGCTATATCACATTGTCTTGAGTCAGCCAATCACAAATTTTCTGCAAGTTTTTTTTGTAGCAATATTTACATATCTCTTGCCATAGGATCCTCCTTAATATTTATTGAGAACAAATAGTTTATTAAAATTTTCTGTCTCTTCACTTTCACTTTATTTTTGTTTTTTAGAATGTACTTAAAAAAAAATATTTGGGGGAGGGCCTTGGCTGGTTGTGTAACGGCATATACCTGTTCTTGCAGAGCTCTGTCCTAACTTAATCAGAAGCACCCAGTGACATTGTAGCAGGTATGTCGCATTGCGCTCTGTCATCAAATCCTGCCCCAGAGAGTTTGGAAATATCCACTTCGAGGGCTGCACGATGGCAATCTATGGGGACCTCCTTGTTGTATTGCTAGAGAGAAGGCAGCAGGCTACTACGAGGGGCCACGATCAAGTACCGCCAGGGGGTCGTTTGCTCTTTTTCCAGTCTCTGTGTGAGGGTGCTGTGTGTGTAAGGGAGCTGTGTGTGTGTATGTGTGAGGGTGCTGTGTGTAAGGGTGCTGTGTGTGTGAGGTTCCTGTGTGGGGGGTGCTGTGAGGGTGCTGTGTGTGTGTGTAAGGGTGCTGTGTATATGTGTGAGGGTGCTGTGTGTGGGGGGTGCTGTATGTGGGTGCTGTATGTTTGTGTGATTGTGTGTATTGTGTGGGGGCCGTTTAGTAAATATCCCCCCCTCCCTTCCTACCTTATGCCAGGGAGGGGGGATCCTTTCTGCTGCTTCCATCCCTGGTGGTCCAGTGGAGAGTTAACGCTAGCCTGGGGGGCTAGAGTTCACTCTCGTGAGATCTGAGCGTTGCCATGGCAATGCTCAGAATCCCGCGAGAGGAACCCGACGGAGCTACTGGCAAGAGCTCCCCGGGTCCTCTCCTGACTCCCTCCCTGCCTGTGGGTCGGTGGGGAAGGAGGTTGTGGTATTGTAACACCTTTTGTATACTTTCATACACTAATCTAGTTGTATTTTGGATACATAAAAGCCAATAAAATACAAACTGGAACAAAAAAATGTTTTGGGGTTGGTTTTACTCACTTTGGCTACCAATTATAATTTTCCAATTCAACCACTCTATCTGTCATGGTGGTAGGATTCTGGATGTGGATTGTCTCAGTTTGAAACACTGCACCTTAAGAGAGATTTTCAATTTTATGCTGGGGTTTATTTGCACCCCAGCACACGTGACTTTGGAAGCCCAAAATGTTGCCGACAGCACTGTGGGTGCTCCCTTCCACCTCCTTTTGTTAAATAAATGGGAGCAATCTTCCCTCCCGCCTCTTTCCCTTTCCCCACCTTCTCTATGAGAAACCTGTGATTGAACCATGGTGATGTTATGACAGAGCCGCAAAATTAATTTCCAGTAGGGCAGGGTTCAGCAACCTATATGTGCCATGAATGACATTCTTTGCACTGAAGTCAAGACTGCCAGAGCCAAACAAGTCTTTACTACACACTGAGTGGTGAGGAGCAATCCTCAATTTACGCATTGCAGCACTTAGAGAAAGTAATCTCAGATCACTTCATCCCAACACTTGTGAACAGGAATTCACACTGGAGTAGAGCAAATTGTACCTGGCCAGCCCGGTTCCCACTGGACCCTAGAGAGCCTTCACTCATACAATTACATCGTAATAGAAACAACCTAGACACTAACACAGTCCCCACAACCACAACACCACTGACAATGCACATACATGCACACAACCCCCCAAGCAGCTCCACACATACACACAATGTGACATATCATCCACACATAATTCCATAGACAGTCCACATTCATATGTATCATACACAGTACCACAAACTACTCATGAATGTATGCCGTACAATATAACAGCCCACATATGCACAACTACAACGCTACAAAGCAATTTCAGCACCCATAAACAAGAATACACACTTCAATTGAAAAAGAGGAATGACACGCCAAGAGACTTCAAAATCTTACTTTGTCACAGTTCTATTAAAAGGTTGCTGTTCATTGCCATAGAGCTTTTATAATATAAATTGAGCGGGGTTTAATCGGGGATGAAGTAACCCTTTATAGAAAAAGGGAGAGGGAGGGAGGGGGGTAAGCACTCAAAACAGTAGTATAAGCAGGTGTGTATATATACAGTAACAAGTGAATTTAAGTTATGAAAGAAAAAAATCACTGAGTAATGGATGCAAATCGATCCTTTTACAGTGTTACCCTCTGAGAGTGGAAAACACAGGTATATATCTACCTAGCCACAAAGAACAATAGCTGAACACAGAAAATAAATATAATGATTGAAGTAGAAAATGGCTTGATTTTTATTTTATTTTTTTTACTCCGTCATCATCCTGTTTCTGAGGTCAGAGTAGCTTTTTTTTGTTGTTGCAAATAATAGACAATCAATACATTTCCAAATAATGGCCTCGATTTTATTATTTTTGTGTAAGCTCTTCGTGTGATCACAATCTGTTAGAAAAACATTTTAACTGATTTATTTACAGAAATCACTATTAAAGTCTAGGAGAATGGACAGGTATGGGAGGCCACAAAAATGAGCCTATAAACAGCTAGGCCGCCTCAGCTATTGTCTTACCCTCTGTACATAGTTATAACAAATCTGTTGAGTTAAAGATTACTAAATCCTGTTTTGTAGTACTGTGTTTTTTTTACCTTTGCCAAATTCCTACATAAATGCTTCTTACTTTGTGTTTCTGTTGGACTCCTCTTTATGTTAACCCTCTCGGCAACAGAAAAGCTTGTCAGGAACTTTACAGCCATCTGCCCCAAATGCCGTATGTTCTAAGCATTGTGGGAAACCTTGCATATAAAATGGGGTGGCCAGTCCTAATCATAGCTAGTGGCCTCAATGGAGGAGTCATATGAGATATTCAGGTTAATAATGCTTTTACTCAGGGGAGTTAACAGCTGCCAAAAATACCAGGAACTTCAGCACAAGTTGTGTGCCCCCAACCCCATATGATATATTTCTTTCCTATTCAAAACCATGATTGTTGTTATATCATGATATAATTTGAAATTGGATAAACTCGAGGTTCCATAGAAATAGTTATTGGAAGAGCTTCAGTTTGTTTTACTTCTCTCTTAATATCACAAACGGTCATATAGATACAAATAACACCTCCATTTGCAAGTTTCCAGGAGGCTTGGGGACTAACAATAAATGGAGCTAAATACAACTCCACTCGTGCCCCGGCTGGGGTTGGCCCCTTTCCAGCCGCTATCATGTTCTTAATTTATAAAATTAATGGTGGTCTCTCAATGCAATGGACATATAATACCTATAGATGTGCAGAGCTAAATTATATTCTGTGGAGTTCACTCATCTCACACTGCCCTTTTTTTAAGGACAATCTGTGCTAGGACAGCTAGCTCACATGTTACTTCCTCATTATCGCTGTGTATAGTTGGTCAGAGGTGAATTCCAGAATTCCCTGGGCTTCCGGGTCCCCTTGGCTTATAATTAACTAACAGACCATGTGGTCACCATGTCCCGAGCCCAAAATAATAATAATAACACACCTGCCCCCAAAATACAGAGCCTGCTCTCCTTGGCAACAAAAGCAACCGAGTCTTTCCTAGCCCTAACATGTGACTGAATTGCATGTAATCCCACTCTATTAACCCATCACCTCCTGCAAATTAGAAAAGTAAGGCAGGGACGGGTTTGCTTAATCAGATTTATTTTTAAATTCGAAACTGTTGTTACATTATTATCCTTTTTTTTAAATTAATGTGGTTATTTTTAACTTGGTCCAAAAAAGCAAAAACTTCATATTTTGACACAAAAATCTTGCTTGTAAATGATGAGCACCATTGGTTGTGAGATTTTGATTGAAACACATGATGGATACCGCTGGATAAAATGCTATTAAGTATCGGTAATGTGAGCTGTCACTCCCTGTCTGGAGACACCTGGATCAGATGAAGCGAATGTCACAAATCAGATTGACGCAGTGACTTGGAAAATGGGGGAGAAAGATGTATATCAGATTTCAAAATCACATAAAATAAATCTTATTCCAGGTCTATTTCAACAATAAAAATAAGTTTCAATTAAAATTCACAGAGTGAACCTGAATATTTATTTTTTATTTTTTTCCGTACCAACCTGTACAGACTCTCAAATCTTTTAATGAATTGATTTGGTCATATGCCATGTATTTGCAAAGTGAACACAAGATGTCCTTGGAATTATACATTTTTCCCGTCAGATCTTTATGGTTTTGGAAGCAAGAATCGTTTGTGTAATGACATTTTGTCCTAGAGGAAAAAAAAGTCACACTTCATACCATATCCATGACTTGCCATATTTTGTTAATTAATCTATATTAGATATTTTTTATACTAATGCATTTTTTTTTATTATTATAATGGATGTGTTTAATTTTATTACTGCCCGGAAAGTGAAAATGTTGCCAGCATTTATTATTTTTTTTTTCTTTTCATTTTTACTTAATGAACACAAAATATGAAAACTGATAGTTTGGCTGTGCTATGTTAGGAACATAAATTTTAAAAGTAAGTATTTTAATCAGTGCTCGATGGATTCGTTTAAAAGTGGTCCCATATTTTCTCTAGTGTTAGAGGCTGCAGTATCAATCAGTTTATTCACAGGGTACAATGAAGGCATGATTTTAACAATTTGGCTTTGTGTCTGTTTGTACAGGTGTTGGTCAGATAGTGCAAACAGTGGGATTCTGAAATGACTTACTCCATACCACCCAAATGTTCTTCTTTCAGGCCTAAATCCTTTGAATCCCAAAATTTATATCCGGCCTCAGCTAGTTTTAAACTTAAAAAGCCAAGTTAATAGAAGTAACATCTCCGTACATACCATAGGAAAATATACATGCTATTTAAATCTTAAAGGTTACCAACCATCAATAAAAAAGGACCAAAAGGCCAGACACATGAGCTAAAAAGGTATGTAAATCTTTATATACATTTAGAACCCTCTACAAGCACTATAAAAAGTACATTGTCCTAAAGGGACACTCCAAGCACTCTGCGCTTCCTGTAGGTGAAAATTCTGAAGCCAGATGCCACCAAAGGAGGAGTGGAGACCAGCGCTTGAGGCAACTTAAGGAACACTATAGGCACCTAGACCACTTCAACTCATTGAAGTGGTCTGGGTGCAGTGTCCCAGGTCCCTTAACCCTACAACGGTAAATATTGCAGTTTTTAATAAACTGCAATAATTACTTTTTAAGGGTTAACTCCATCTCTAGTGGCTGTAATTGACACCGGGCATCCTCAAGCTATGCATGAGGACATTCAGCACCCGAAAACCCCATAGGAATTAATTGTATAATGCTTTCCTATTGAGAAAGTCCTAATGCGAATGCGCCGTTTGCCGCGCATTAGGTACTTCCCTCCGGCTGACGTCAGCGACAAAGGTGGAGCCTGAACAGGGCCAGACGACTTTAGAGCTAGAATCAAGTAATGGATTGGTGGGGGGACGGGATGGGTAAACTATAGGGAGCTATAGTGCCAGGAAAGCAACTTTTTTTTTTTTTTTCTGATACTATAGTTTCTCTTTAAGGGTTAAAGGGAAACTCCAGTGCCAGGAAAACAATCCGTTTCCGGGCACTGCAGTTCCCCTCTCCATCCCACCCCCCAATCCCCGGTTGCTGAAGGGGTGAAAACCTCGTCGCTGCTTCCGCCGCCGCTGCTGCTCCTCTGCATTACGTCGGCCAGTGGGCGAGACTGATCCCGCCCACCGGCTGGGGAGACCTAATGCGCTATGCCGTGCATGCGCATTAGCGCTCCCCATAGGAAAGCATTGAAAATGCTTTTCAATGCTTTCCTATGGGGAAATGAGCGACGCTGGAGGTCCTCACATAGCATGAGGACGTCCAGCGACGCTCTAGTACTTTCCTGTACTAGAAACCAGGAAGTGCCCTCTAATGGCTGTCTAGTAGACAGCCACTAGAGGTGGAGTTAACCCTGCAATGTAATTATTGCAGTTTATAAAACACTGCAATAATTACACTTGCAGGGTTAAGAGTAGTGGGAGTTGGCACCCAGACCACTCCAATGGGCAGAAGTGGTCTGGGTGTCTGGAGTGTCCCTTTAAACCGTTCATGAACAGTTTAAACCCTTGAGGTAAGAGTGCCTGCATGGTCCTCCTGGCCCAAAACAACTTCATGTTGATGGAGTTGTTTGGTGCCTAAAGAGTTCCTTTAACTGTGGTCTGCTCCCTGTTTCTGCTACAGACTGCTCTCTGTCTGAGCTAAAACTGGTGATGCAGGGCTTAGCTCGTTGTCTGAGAGAAATCCGCTGCTGCTCGCAGGTACTGAGCTACCCCAGTACCAAAACGGTGCAGAGGTGGGCAAGGGTACCATTCTAAATGGGCAATGGTGCAAATCTAAAGTGGCTTAACTTCTCACTATATGGTCCTGGCACCATAACCACTACAGTGTGTTGAGAGAGTTTATTTTTAGTGCCTCACAAGCTAAGGGAGCAAGTAGGACTCACATTGTAATCACACCTGGCATAGCATAACATCACATTTCAGTACATTTAGTATACATGTTTTTGGACATGGGCAAATAAAGTAGATTGGAAAGCACTAGAATATAACTTGTATAGCTTAAAGGTACAGTCCAGGCACGATGACCACTAATGCCCATTGCAGTGGTCTGGGTGCCAGCTCCCACTACCCTTAACCCTGCAACTGTAATTATTGCAGTTTTCATAAACTGCAATAATTACCTTGCAGGGTTAACTCCTCCTCTGGTGGCTATCTACTAGACAGCCACTAGAGGGCACTTCCTGGATTATTGCACAGAAAACCTGTGCTAGAGCGTCACTGGATGTCCTCACGCTGTGTGAGGACCTCCAGCGTCGCTCAATTCCCCATAAGAAAGCATTGAAAAGCATTTTCAATTCTTTCCTATGGAGAGCTCTAATGCACATGCACGGCATTGACGCGCATGAGCATTAGGTCTCCTCAGCTGGCGGGCTGATGTAATGAAGGGGAGGAGCGGCGGCGACCTGAAATCACTGCCGAGGGACATCGGCTCGGGTCTCAGGTAAGTCACTGAAGGGGTTTTCACCCCTTCAGCAACCGGGGATGGGTGGTGGGAGGGAGAGGGGACCTGCAGTGCCAGGAAAACTGATTGTTTTCCTGACACTGGAGAGTCCCTTTAAAGGAACACTCCAAGCCCCATGACTACTACCACTGACTGTTGTGGTTATAATGTCAGGAGTAACCTTCCCCCTCCCATTGTCAGTAGTTAAACCATTTTTAGAATGGTGCAGTAGCTTTCACTCTCAACCCTTCTCTTTATTCCATCCTCCTACTGGACTATTTAAATAACTTCAATTTTCTCATCTCCCATAACTGTTCTTTTTTTTTTAATTTTGTATATTTAATTTCCATTTTTGTACAATAGAGTTCTCTCCCTATACAGGTTGTGTTATGAGATGCTATGAATACATTTAAAAAAGGCTTGGATGCTTTTTTGCATAAACCTAATATTCAAGGATATAATTGATATGTATATAAACAGGTTGTTGATCTAAGGAGAAATCTGATTGCCATTATGGCAGGAAGAATGATTTCTTTCCCTTTTAGTAGCATAATTGGGAATGGCTTTAGTTGTTTGTTTTTGCTGCCTTCTTGATCAACAGCATAAAAGAATGGGCTTCACGGTCGAACTTGATGGACTTTAGTCTTTATTTCAGGTTAGACAACAATGTTACTGTATAAGAATAAGTCAATGTACAGCTTTTACACAAAATGAAAATGCTGTAAAGATAATACATTGTCTGTATAAATGGGGGGGTCAAATCCTACCTAGAGAATCCCTTGAATATCTCCACCCTCAAAATAACTGGAGTCCCTAGGCATCATCTTACCTTAAGGTGTTTCTGAATGGTTTACCACCAAAGTTGCGTCCTTGGGTACCCATTCATGTTACCTCCCCTTTACTCTGTTTGACCTTCCTGCAAAAAAACATTGCCTTGCATGTTAGTGATAGACTGAAGGTGTCACATATCTCTAACATACTGTTACTCACAGGCACTCAAGACAGAGAAGAGGGAAGTCCAGGGCCCCAAGATGTGCTAAACCATTGAAGATCACCATAGATTCCAGCCTCCAAAATGAATTCATTGTGATAATGTTGTAAGAATGGAAAGTAGAGATAATTGTTTGTTTGCACTAGCTGTTCTGTGACTGTAAAATATTTTGTAAGATTTTACTGTTACAATCAAACATGGTGTACTGATGAAAATATTGTTATTGTTTTTTTTTGTTTCATAGGTAATCATTGACTTCTAAGTGCTAAAAAAATGAGTCACCTCAGGGCCTTCACTGCCAGATTAAAGCCATATGGTATTTCTTTGCTGGCGATGAAAGCTACAGCCCCAAGGCCTACACTACCGAGATGTTGCCTACATTCTTCTGGGAGCAAAGAGCCATTCTTAAGTGGTACCAATTCTAGTTACGTGGAAGAAATGTATTATGCATGGCTGGAGAATCCAAAAAGTGTCCACAAGGTAAACGGAGTGGAAATAGTTTTCTGTGTAAACGAGATTAACGTTTTTTTTTTTTTTTAAAGTTATGAGATTGTAGATATTGTTTAAACGTAGCTAAAAGAGAAAATCTATTTACTACTTACTTCATGAGGTTAAGAAATAATTTTGAGAATTTTTGGAATAACTAAAAAGTCTTTGACTTTTCACTGGATTTTTGTGATACTTTTTTCTGTTTATGGAATATGGAATTCCTAGCTATTGCATATGAATGGAAGCCTTATTTTAAGAAATGTCGCTATCTGACCTATGGGAAGAGAAACCTCTTGTCACTGTGCTAGGATTTTTGTATTGAGGTCAGTGTTTTGTTCTGCTAGTTTCCTTCTCTCCCCATTATTGAACTAAAAGCCTGTTTTAGGTTTTATGTATTTCTTGACCTCATGGCAAAACATTCCATTAACTCTGTTTAATAAAGGGAATGCATATTTGTGTAACGGAAGTGCATTGTGTTTGTTTTCTGATTCATGTAATGCATTTCGGTTCTCTATTCTGATATATTCACATAGCCACGTGAAATACATTTTAACATCTTCCTTCCCAACAACATTTATATACAGGTTACATTTAAATTCAGCCATTATATAACCACTTACTTTGCCCCATAGCTGGTTTTCTCAGTCGGGGCTTCCTTTGTTTCTCTGCATCTTTGCATCATTGTAAATGGAAACCCTCTCCCTCTGCCATTTCCTACATCAACCTTTGTAGGTAAAACTTCATTGCTGTCTCATTGCAACCATTGATTTGGGGAGAAAGGAAGAATGACTTGCTTGATGCACTAGAAATGTATAATGTCCGTATTCTATTCTATACTATATTATAATTAATTGGTGTAACTTCACTTCATCTGTGTGAGATCATGCCAAAATACTACTCCAGTGCCTGCCCAGATGACTCCACAGTCGGTGGGGATATCAAAGATCTCACTCACCTGCCAGGCTGCTGTGATGTTTTGGGTAGGAGGGAGAACTTGACCTGAGCCTGCTTTGGGTACAGGCCAAGTTGTCTGCTTCTCCTTCAGAGCATTGCTGTAATACTTTCTGTAATTTTAAACACTCTCCATAAACACTCTTAAGGGTAAAATAAATATAGGTATTGTTCATTTAATACGTTTAGATCATGGGCCTTATCTTTATAAAACCATCTACAGCACATGCATGGCAATCACTATGCTCTCCTCAATCTCCTTGAGCTGTCATAGGTCATGTGAACAGCTCCTTGTTTTTGTACAAGGACTGCTGATGATTCACCGTGATGTCAAGTTAAACAATTTGGTACTTGGGGTGATTGTGAATAGTTTTGTTATAAAGTGTAGTGATCAGCGAAAATCTCATATATTGTTTGGCATATTGCTGCTTAATAATCTGGTTCTGCAAAATCATTTAGTAAAGGCTAGATAATTCATGATTGACAGGATTGGTGAAGAGTTCCCTTGCAAATCTTTATAAATTCCTGGTTTAGTTAATAGCCCTGTTAGTCTGTTAATGTTTAGAGATGTTCATGTTTCATGAAAGAGTTTATGAAGACCTTTCAGAAAATCCCATCCAGCTAACATGTAATTGTAATGAAATGCCACCAGAGATGTACCTGTGAAGATCAGGAGTCAAGCCAGCACCTACAGCCACCACAGCTGGGCTGGCCTCTGGCAGGTATCGACTGCTCTTCCTGTACTCCATCTCCCAGGCAGGTTTTAAACCCCTCTGCCTGCTTTCAACTACTGCCTGTACAAGGGCACTTGCGACTCTCAGGCCTAGCTCTTTCTTAATATGCCCCCAGGATCAGGTACTAGTGCAGCCAGCAAGCAGGTCTGAAGACTTTGTTACAGGAATCTCTGAACAACCAGACCAGACACACAGTTCCCAATGGGACTAACACATAATACTTTATTTACACTCAGGACTAGCCCCTATCGGCATTCCATTAAACTTATGGTGCCACACTCTATCCAATACATATAACCAAATCATATGGGAAATCGTACAGGTACTAATTATAGAATAATAATATTTAAAAAGGGGTTGGGAAAACAAAGACTAACAAGAAATCGCATAAACATTTCCTACAAAGGGATTTGGATAGATTAGGGAAATGGATGAGTAAGTGGCAGATGAGATTCAATATAGATAAATACAAAATTATTCATTTTTTGGATAAAGAATCCACTCATACCCTAAGTTGAGATCGGCATAACAGTGAAGGAAAAGAACTAATACAAATAATAATTGTAGAACACATCAATGTGCAGCTTTTATCAGCCATTGTAAAATGCTGCCATGCATTAAAAAGGATATTAATTCATGTGAGGAAAAAACATAATCTTGTCTCTTTATAAATCAGTGGTCAAGACCCCATCTTAAATATCTGGTGCAATTTAGGGCACCTGTTTTAAAGGGACACCCCAAGCATCATAACCACTACACCTTTCTGCAGTGGTTATGTTGGCAGGAGTGCCCTGGTGCCCCCTTCACTGTAGAGTTAAGTTCTATTTTAATGGTTTGACAAATAACCTTTCACTTTAATAAGTCTGTGACAATACAGCCGTGGCGTCTCTGGCCCTGAAGGTGGACCAGCTCAGCCCTAGTATCGCCTGTCGAATTCTTTGCATGGCCTGTAATTTTCCCACTGGTGAATGCAGCATCTGTCCTCACTCATGATTTCAGTTGGAATTCTGGAATCTGTTACCGAAGGCAGAACAGTTTGGACCTTGTATTTTGTATCGCCTGCGCAAACCTCCGCTAGCTCTCCTGGCAAACTTCTACCCTAAGAGCTAGGACTCTGGTACTTGAGTCACATACCTCCTGGTAAAGCAGGTTCTACTGCAGAGTTTCTCCAGGTATCTGAATGACCACTAATCTTCCAGATACCTCTAGCAGGTTCCATGTCTAGCCAGAACCAGCTCTAGCAACACCATGAGTCTCATTGACCATCTTTCTGTAAAGCATACAATATGCAGGATGCAACACTGTTGAGTCCCACCTCTCACTATGCTGGACAAACATCTTACAATGGCTTTCTAGGTACATTTTGTAGTCCCATCAGACAGCCTGGCATCTAGCTGAGACCATCTGAGACAAAGAGTAACTGAACACGTTACCTATGACCTAACATTGCTGTTACGTTTCCTTTTGTACTCTTACATGTTACAATAAGGTAGAACTTGCATAGTAACTTGACATTACACACAACAACTATATACAGGTTCCCCAACCTCCCCAAATCCAATTTCCTGCACAGTCAGATCCTCATTGCCTTTCTTGTCAACATTTCCTTCTCAACATTTCCTAGCAAAGTGCGCTGGGAGTTCCGCAATATGAGTGCAAGTGTAAAACATGAACCAGGATAACTCTGCTCATGCCTGACCCTCTTGAATAAATTATTTTATAACCCCTAGCCCCTGTGTCCTTAGCCAAGGCACGTAGCCCCAGTCCTTGCTTGTGATTGTGGCATGCATCTTCCAGCATTTCCAGCAGTTCACAGGCCGCACAGTAGGCTTAAACAAGCTGGCACCAGGCGCGAGCCCAGTTCAAGACACCGTACTGTATACCATCACTCATGCACCATTGAGCGATCCAAGTGGTGGGAAATGGCGCTTTGTTGCCAGCTGTGCACATTCCATCGCTAGCAATGGTCGTAAAATGGTGCTGCGAGTTCTCAAACGGAAAAAGGGAAATGGGGCAAATAGGTCATTCGTCACACAAAGTCAAATCTGGTTTTAATGGTTTGACATCTGATTTGGAGTCCTCTGAAAGCAGCTCCCCTCCTCCACTACCATTCTGTTGGCTCCCCTTTGCTTTGAGTGATTGGCTAGTGCTAAATGTAGTGGTTATGGTGCTTGGAGTGTCCCTTTTAAAGAACGGGCATATGGTAGGTACTGGAAAAAATGTAGAGACAGGCTTCAAAATTAGAACAACTTGACCTACATCGAAGAATAAAAGGATTTTTTTAATCCCCTCTTGTGGGGGAAATTGGAACATGCAAATCCCTTCAAAGGTCTGTTTTTATTTTTATTTTTTGCCATCTTTTGGATCAACAGCAGAAAAAATATTTAAAAAGTTGATCTTGCTGGAGTTGTTTGTTTTTTCTTTTTCTTTTTAGTATAGATTGCTATGTAACTGACATTTCCACCTCATAGTATATCTCCCAACATTGAGAGCTATGCAGATCGGCACTGTGGGTGTGACTTGCATAGCTCTCAATGTTGGGAGATATACTCTGAGGTGGAAATGTCAGTTACATAGTGACGGGTGTGCCAACCCAGAAAGAGGGCACTACTGAAGAACTCACTGCAGGGTCCTAGTGCCGGTGCACAGCTTGAGTAAAATGCTACCCTTCCCAATTGATTTAGCTCCCCACCATCATCAACATGTGCAAGTACCATTGACTGGGTTGATTTGTGTTTCCTCCAAATTCCAGCTATAACCTTTTTATTTTTATTATGGCTTTACCTCCTGTTCTTAGTTTGTGACAGACAAGTCTATGGTCTTCTACTGATCTAACCATTTGTGCCTTCCAAGATCCCTTTCTGTGCACCACTGTTGTAGGAAGGGGGCTATATAAATATTTATGTAGACATCTGGCCATTCTCATGTGACCGTCTTATTCGTAAGGCATTTTATTACATTGCAAACACTAGCTATAGTGATTTCACTCTTCTCAACAAAGAATATTGGCATTGTTTTTGTCCATTACTGTTATTTTCAAGAAACTGGCACTGAGATAAAACCTATTAATATAAACTTTATATTCTATCGGTTTTGGAATTCAAATGAATAAAAGTTACACTCCAAGTGCATCTGGACATACTACTGTGGCGGTCTGCCAAGGTATCACTGCTACGTATACCCTTTTCCCATAGAAACAGCAACGAATTCCCACAGGCAAAATATCACTGATGTAGAATAAACCCCCCACACATGAGCCAAGGCTTAATGCTGAGTAAAGACTGATTTAATGGAAGTACAGACGTC